CTAAGTTTATTTTACTTTTCACTGAAAATAAAAAATCAATACCTAAAATTATCGGAAAAACTAAATCACTAATTAATAAAAATTCATAACTAAAATAGTTATTAGCTATTTTAAAATCAAGAAACAATTGTTTCGCTATTTTACGTTGTTTTGTTTTAAACGCCCCTGTAATACGAATCCCCGTTACCGGAAAACTAGGAATTTTCTCTTGAAAATCTCCCAATTGAGCGTAAACGTCACCGGATATGCAGGATATTTCTGAGCCGCTGTCAATTAGTGCTGGAAAAGAAAAATTAAAAATTGAAACAGTAATAACTGGTGATTTTTTATTTTCAATGTTAAGATGGTCAAACTCACAGTCAGAGCCCCATGGCTCTTCTTCCATATTTTTATTTAGTATTACGGCCATTTTGCCACTGTCAGTTGTCTCCGGCCCTAAAGACTGTGGCTCGGCTCGTTTCCCGATATTTCCAAATTCGCTACCCCTAAATCGTCCACTAAATCCACCGCGGATACGTTTCGATTTGCATAATTTTTTCTTTCGGGTCCCAACCTATCCTTTTCATAACGCGACCCAAAATTTGATCTGTCTACCGTTCTATGATTATAATATTCCGCTTGTTGCAGTATTGGGATTACTTCTGACAATTTCTTTAGCCCTATTATAGCGCTAAATATATTTACCGGAAAATGGCGGGCTATACATTGAATTAATTCAAACTCAGACAGGGGTGGTCTGAGATATTGTGCCATAGCTACGTATTTTGTAAAATGGTCTACTAGAGAGCCAGTTTCATACTTTCCTTGCCAAATTTTTAATTTTATTTCTAGTTGTTTAGTTTCGCTCCAAAAATATCTTAAATATGCTTCCTCAAATTCTGTAAAAGTAAGAAATGATTTAAGATATGCCTCACTCCACGCTTTAGCTCTACCCTGTAATTTTTTTGCCAATAAAAATTTTATTTCTAGAAATGAGGTATTATTTCTCTGTAATAAAAACTTAATTTTTTCTAGAAAATCTATAGGGTGTAACGTATTATTACCATGAAATTCTGGAAGCATATTATCTATGTTTGCTAAAATTCTATTATATTCGCTAATGTTATCAATTTGAAAAGGTAAAGTTTGTTGATTGTTATTTTTAAAGGTATCTGTTATAGATTGATTTACAATATTTCTTATAAAACTATCTAAGTTATTAAAGTCCCTATTATCATATGGCGGTGGTGGTTGGCGTGGGTGTTGATTAGTTTGTTGTGCAATTCTTGTAGAATCAGGAACTTTTACTTGTTCACCCAAAAAATATGGAATGTTCCTACCTTGAAAATCCATGCCCGATGTATATATTGGTGATTTCTGTGTAGGATAGCGTGGCAAACCTCTGGATGCATTCGAAAGAGGAATGCGCTCATTTTCTGGAATATTCCTACGCCGGACAGCTCCAGTAGGTTGTCTTCCACTTGAAGTCTGTTCTGGAATGACGCTCTCGTTTCGCTGGGAAAATGTGGGAGTTGTTTGTAGCTCCTCGTTCATTCTTCTCGCCCCCAGACGTGTTAAGGGTGGTGAATTTCGACTGTTATCAGCAGGAGGTGTTCGTCGAACTGCCATTCTTAGACTCGGCCGTAGTTGGGTAGCCAAGATGTAACAAAACTCTTATAAAGAGTTAGGGGTTCGCTCAAGTCAAAGAAAACTCTTCGAAAAACACTCCGAAAATTCTTTATTCTTGGTATCTAAAATACTATCAAGCCTTTCTACTACAACTTTTAAAAAGTACAGTTTTACACTTTATGGCCACAGGATAATAAAATGAATACAATAAGAATAGTTGTTTCAGCGTACAGTAGCGAGAGTCAAATGAGAATCGAATTCAAATATGCAAGGCGCAAAAAAAGATTTAAATAAAAAACTGACTCTCCAGATAGAGCTACGACCAAATAAGATTCCCCACATTGTTATGGCTGCTACAATAGAGTATATAAAAATTCTAGCTGTGAGCATCAATTAAAACGAAAATAATATTTGCTATGAGATATGCAGAATTTTATAACAATTTAAAATATATTTAATCAACGTCAACACATTTAAACTATATCTAATAACAATAAAAATAAATAGCAAACCAAGACATGAGATTTTGCTACAGGTGTTCGACATATCGACCGTCTTCTGTTATGGACAGACGGAGCAGTTTTTGAACATTTCTCGCGGAATTCATTAATTCAGTTGGGGTGAAAGATACCCTCTCATAACTGCTAAGTATTTCTAATTCTTGTCTAGATTATACGGAAGAATAAGGAACCTTTATTCTTCCGCAAATATATCCAACGATTAGATCCATGGGCACTAAGTCAGACGGCCTCGACGGCCAGCGGCTGGGATCTTGGTTAGCTATTCAATTATTCTCGAAATTGGCTGCAAAAATTTGCTGATACTTCAGCGTTCAGAGGCGGTGCGTCGTCTTGCTGGAAAAAATATGTTTTCGAGTTCCATTAAGGGCATATCATCATTAAGTGGTCCAAAGCCTACTAGTTTAAAGTGGCGAACTTTTAAAAATTCTGTATTTCGAAGGGGATTATAACAAAATATCAAGTGTGCTATATTTTCGGAAAGGTAATTTTAAATTCTTTTCAGTTAATGAAAAATATAGAGGGTGTCCCAAATAAAAAATCAATTTTTCTGTTGATAACTCTTAAATTATTAATTTAAAAAAAATTATACTTAAACCATTAAATTCTACGTAAAAAGGTGCTTTGGAAATGTTTTCATAGAAATACAAAATGTTCCATAGTAAAAAAGTTACAGCGATTTGTTAAAAATGCACATTTTTTAAAAACACCTCGTAACTCCGGAACGGTAACAGATATTGATGTGCGGTTTTCACCATCATGTTTTTAATGAAAATTGAGCTCCATACACCGATATTAGTTTTCGTCTATCTCGTATAGAAAAGGGTGTTTCCATTTAAAAGCGTCGAATTTGACCCACCCTGTACATAGAAACCAACGCCAACCCAACACAATATTTTTTTCTACTCAGAAAAGAATCAGAAAAGCTAGTAATTCAGTTTTAAGTTTTAGTTGTCTTTTTATAAGTTATAAATCATAACAAAATAAGAATACCATACCAACTAAGTGAAATTAGTTAGAAAAGATAAGAATTGGCTGTGAATTGATAACTTATATCGCTGAAAAGCTTAAAATATGGCGCCTTTTATGAAGTCATGGCCAACTATGGTTTCCATTTAAAAAAACATATGTTTGTGTTATATGTCAAAAATGACAGGTTTAAAAAAACGGAAAACACAATGAAGTGATTATCTACAACTTTTACATGAAAACTTTTTGTCTAAAATAGATTATGGAATTAGGGACAATTTTTAAAATAACCGAAATTTGTCTTTTTCGAAATATCCAATAAGCCATGAACTCCTTCAAAAATCTGAAAGGCGCATATTTATGACCCCACAAAACTGCATTATTCCCCATTAACCGACTCTCTATCTCCAGTAGTTTCCGAGATACCCATAGAGAACATCGTAGGAAACTCACCCTGTATACGTTATGAGTGGTAAATCAATCAATTTTGAAATTCATTTGGAGTTAACTGATTATGTTGTTATTCTTGTATTTTGGCATTTAAATACTACTTGTCAAAAATATCGGATAGATCAATTTTATGAATTATACTTTGTGGTTCGGTAGTGTATCCATATTTTTTTATTAACGAATATCACTTATTGACTCAACATTAAATAATACCTAATTATTTTTGAGAAAAGCAAGAGAAACAAAATCGCTAAATAAATAATAAGCTTTTCTTCTTCAAAATAACATGAAAATGTTATACTCTACTAGCTCATTATTAATTATACAGGGTGGTCCGAACTGTATTCCGGAAACTTCAGCAGCAAATTCTGCAGATGAAAATAAGTAAAAAAGTTCGTATAAATGTATGCCTAAAATGCTTAGTTTCGGAGATACAGGGTGTTTAGTTTCATTTTTATTTCGATTTTTTCCAAATAATTTCTGAAGTAACGTCAATATTTGAATGAAAATTGGTGTCTGGAAGTTTTTTGACATGAGAAATTTGATTTTGATGTCAGTACGACTCCTACTTATAGAGAGCACCACCTAAATATGTTTTAAGTGTTTTGAAGAGTAATAACTTTTCGTCCGTACCTGTATAGAACTACTGAGTGAAAAAATATACATTTTGTGATTCTTTACGTAAAAAATGTCTCTTGGTAAAAATCGCTACGAACAACCATCCTCAAGATATTTAGAATGGTAATAGTCAATACATGTCATTATTGACAAACAAATAAACATTTTGAGTAGATAGATAGTTATTTGACCTAAAATGATAAATTTGGGAACTTTTTTTTAAATTAATCATAATTTTTTTTTCGAAAAAATTATTATAAAACTTTCTGTTAAACTTTTGGCACAAAAACATTTCAAATTTATGATTTCAGTCTAATAGCTATTTAATCAACATGTTTAATTTATGTCAATGATGACAGGTATTAATAATCTAAATTCCAAATCTCTCAAGAACCATTATTCGTAGCGCTTTTTATCAAGAGACTTTTTTTACGTAAAAAACGTCGTAAATGTACATTTTTTCACTCAGCAGTTTTATACAGGTACGGACGAAAAGTTATTACTCTTCAAAACAGTTTAAACCCATGTAGGTGACGCCCCCTACAAATAGGAGTCATATTGACATCAAAATCAAATTTCTCATGTCATAAAACTCCCAGACACCAATTTTCATTCAAATATTGACGTTACTTTAGAAATTATTTCGAAAAAATCGAAATAAAAATGAAACTTTTACACCCTGTATTTCCCAAACTAAGCATTTTAGGACATACATTTATAGGAACTTTTTTACTTATTTTTATCTGAAGAATATGCTACCGAAGTTTCCGGAATACAATTTGGACCACCCTGTATATTAATTATAATTTTTATTACACTCTAAAATACTGGACTCACCTTGTAGATTCCATCCACCAGCTTGATCAATTCCTCTGTCTCCATTGTGGTAACGTTTTCAATCATCGGCCGATGTGGGTAACAAGGTATTATTGTTCTGTCGCTGACATGCCAAATTCCGATAGCTTCACTTCCACTCTACCCATCCACGTTTAAAGGAAACACTCTGAAAATAAAAAAGAATTTCCAATTAAGATTAAAGTTTGACATGTAATAAATATAAAAAGTGTTTTTTTTTTCAAATTACACAGCCCACAGGAATTCAATTGACTTAAAAGAATATTCCGTCTCTACACATTTGATTTGATCAAATAGCTTCTCCAAACTGCCAAGTGTTAGCAATAAAATTGACAGAAAGCTTATTGTGTTAAAACTAGACGTGAAAAAAGAGTATGGATCAGAAAATTGATTGACTACAGATCTACTTATCATAGTGCGTCTAATAATTTCTTACCTAAGCTATAGTTAGGAGATCCTAGAGATTACAAGAACAAATTAAAAGTGGATGCAAACCAATCGAATTTAAATTATTTTTTTGTTGGAAAAGGTTGCAGCCAAAAATAAAATACAAGACAGATTGCGTAGCGCCATTTGTACTCAGCTTAAGCTAGAAATTACTCTTCTTTAATTAATTTTTATATTTTGGATTCCCCCTTAGAATTCGAGTTTCGAAAAATCCCTTCTTATCGAACCTCTACACCCTAAAGTCAATCCGTTTTCCAAAAATCAGCTTTTTACGTCAAGCGCTTTAAGCAGGATCGTGATTAATCAATCACCAAATTTTTCGAAACACCCTGTATACATTTTTAAAAAATCTTAAAATATGTAAAAAAACAAAATAAAATATACGTGTTTAAGCGTTTTTTCGGAAACTTGGCCGTTTTTTAAATAAAAAAATATTGTAATATTTTTTTTAGTTTCACCCCCTTGGAACTGGAATTGCGAAAATTACCTTCTTATCGAACCTCTACACCCTAGAATCAACCTGTACGCCAAAATTGAGCTTCTTACGTTGAGTGGTTTGAGCAGGATCGTGATTAATCAGTGAGTCAGTCACATAAGGATTTTATACAGGGTCCGGCAATAGTGCGTCTTGGAAATTTTGTTTAAGTGTAAACCTAAAGTATGTACCAGGATGTATTTCCGGAAAATATTTTAACTTCTATAGGGTGGCTCAAAAAAGTGTGAGTGGATCTGGATGACTTTTTTTAAATCGAACACCCTGTATATTATTGCATTTTTAGCTTCCTTTCAGATCATTTTACATAATCCTAAGATATGAGTAAATATATTTCGATAGTTTCAGAGATATTAAAAAATAAATCTAAAATATGTATTTTTCAACCCTTCTTAAAAAAATATTAAAAATACAAGATCTGTTCTGAAATCAAAACTATATTAGATATTTACTTTAGATGGTCTGTTCTTACTTTGCTATAAATATGGTAATCGTAAATCATACAGGATGTTCAACATTTTACGCCAAACTTTCAAAAATATAAAATAATTTTTCTTGTTTTTTTTAAATGGAACACCCTGTATATTATTTTTTTATTTGGTGGAGAATTAAAAAATGAACATTTTTTGTATTTAAAGTATTTCAAAATTTTTAGTAGTTTTCCGGATACACTTAGTATTATTTCATATGGCGCTTTTAATGGTAAAATACGAGAGAAAAATCATTGGGTGGCTTTGATAAAAATTTACTGTGGAAAATGCCATATGAAATACAAAACCGGGAATATCTGCGAAACCGTTAAAAATTTTGAAATACTCTAAATGCAAGAAATGTTCATTTTTTAATTCTCCATCTATTGAAAAAGTAATATACAGGGTGTTCCATTTAAAAAACCACAGAAAAATTATTTTACATTTTAGAAAGTTTGGCGTAGAATTTTGAACATCCTGTATGATTTACGATTTCCATATTTATAGCAAAGTAAGTACAGACCATCTAAAGTAAATATCTAATAGAGTTTTGATTTCAGAACAATTCTTGTTATTATTAATAATTTTTTTAAGAAAGGCTGAAAAATATATAATTTTTATTTATTTATTAATATCTCTGAAATTATTGAAATATATTTATTCATGTCTTAAGATTATGTAAAATGATCTGAAAGGAAGCCAAAAATGCGATAATATACAGGGTGTTCCATTTAAAAAAAGTCATCCCGATCCACTCACACTTTTTTGAGCCACCCTATAGAAGTTAAAATATTTTCCTGAAATACATCCTAGTACATACTTTAGGTTTGTAGGTAAACAAAATTCACAAGTTTTTTATTCTAGGAGCTACAGATGCCCGACGCACTATTGCCGGACCTTGTATATCAGTATAGATTTTTAAAAAATATTTCATTAATTTTTTTAATGCCATCATTATCCATGCTTGAGACCTTTTTAGTACCGTTTGCATAACAGTAATTTTACACAAAATATTTCGATACCGTTGACTTTAACAACAATAGCCGAAAAACATCCTCTCGACAATAATTAATTATCAAACTTAATATAATCATTTAATGCAATTAATTAACTAAATGTATTTAACGATAACGTAACAGCTTTACATTTCCATGTTAATATGTTCGTATCGATAATGAATATGAAACAAATATTGACAAAACACTTCTGCCGTTATGAACACGAGCGGGAGGTGGAAAATGGCGGAAACAAAGGGGATACAGGGATGGGTTCCTAGTAAATAAGCAATATGTTACGTAATATATTAGTGTAATAAAATTAGATGATTTTGAGTCAATATTATTTAAGCTTATTAGAAGGAAGACTGAGACAATATAACCTCTATAAGTTAATTAATTGTTAAGAAAGTTGTATTAGATACATACTTTTTACGTAAGGGATGTCATAATAATAAAAATATTGATTAGAGGAAAATAAGTATCACAAAATGAAATTATTAAGATAATTATAACAGAAAGTCAACGGTTTTTATAGACGTATCTGTTGAAAAAAATTATGTGTGCACTAACTTTAATAATTTGAATGTGTACACAAACTATTAAAATCAAAAAAATGCCCTCTAACGTCACAAATTCTGCTGCAGCCCGTATATGGACGTTACATGTCCTTAATAACATAATTTCTTGATAATATGGTTACTAGGGTTCAGAACCGGAAATTCCCGGTTGCTTTGAGATATCAAAGAACCGGGACTCGAAATTATTAATTCCCGGTTCTTTCGGTACCTTCGGGACTCGGGACTCGGTAACAATAACTAAAAAATTATTCTTTTATTACGTGAGAAAGTAGTTATGCTATTTCTCATTGTTCTTTTGAAATTTCTGTAATGTTTATTAGCAATTATTTAAGTTTAATATGTTATTTTATTATTTAGTACAATGTGTTGTTCAATGTATTAGTTATCCAATGAAAATCACCTACCAACACATTAATGTTAAAATTAAACTTGTTTTAAATTTAAAAAAAGTTGTAGAAACTTTTTGAATAAATAATAACATAAAAATATGTCATTATACATTTTTTCCGCATTTCTTCACATCAGAAGATTTTCAGATTCAGACGAATTGTTACTTACACGAAATGTGAAAATATTATGTTTTCAAGCAAATTTTTACTCGATGATCAATTTTTTTTTATTTTAATTTATTGTGAACTCATATTTTCCTAAATACATCTCTGTGAAACCATGGCGAGTGCCACAACTATACTTTGCCTAGTTATAGACCACGACTATACAGCTACGTCAGTGGTCACGGGAAGCGAGAACAAGGTCATATAAAGTGGCAGAAAAAGAACAAAGGAATTGACAAGGAGTAAAGCTACTAGTTTCCTTATACTATGGTTTTACGATACAACATGAAATAAATAAATTTATATTTTGTGATGGTTACCCATCCCTGATATAAGGGAAGTGACAAAAGAGAGAGGGCCAGTAGCGAAGCGTGAAGGGGAGGAAAACAGACACGTAACAATCCGATTTGGTACAATATATAACACAATAATACTTCGTCAATGTAAATGGAGTTACCAGCTATTAATTATCGATACTAAATACCAAAACGTATATGAGCGCCGCGCGAAATCCTGAAATACTGTTGTTGTTCGGCGGAATTCGGAATATGATTGTTCGGAGGCAACAAACGGCAATGTTGGTCCATGGAAATCGTCGTAATTTCCCGTAGGTGCTTCCTGTTTAGTTTGCCTTGATTCTAAATACAAACAATACTGGAAAATGCTGTAAAAATGAGTATAAAATCAGAGAGCATAATTTAGAACTTCGCTTACGTTATAGCTTTGATGTGTAGTAGTATTGTAACGTTTTTAGTTCGTTACATGTCTTTTTTATATATAGTATATGATGCCTGGCCTATCATCACCGGATTCCCTCTCGTTCAGGCCGGATAGTTATTTGGCACGCTTGGCGTAATTTTTACGTTCCCTAGTCGCCAACCCTGCTATCGTTTCACTGTTCTGTGGAGGCGCGCGCTGTCAAGATCCTTGTCATATGTCAAGATTGTCAAGGCGCCTCTCTGCGTTTTAACCTCACTTTGTTTTTGGCTACGGTTGCAAATCCTGCTTTTAGAAATGGCAATTTAAATCTTGCTGCAAAATCTGAATCAGTTTTCTCATCAGCAGTTTTGGATGTCCCAACTTAACTTGTATTTGTATTTTGCTGGCACGTTGGCGTCCCTTTTCTTTTCTCCTCCAGAATATTACATGGAAGAAAGGACAGTTTCTTTGTTTATTATTGAGCCCTCGGAAGTAATTCGAGGTAGGTTTATTTTGTTTATTAGACCTTGTTTGGTTTTAAACAAGGGTTTCATATTTTTAGGGTCCAAGGTACGGACTATTTCCAAGGTTATAGTCCTTAGTTATAGTCCAAGGTACGGGTAGTGTTCCCTTGTACCATTATCCTATGTACGGATGTCCTGTGGACGAGTGTCCCCAGTAGGAATGATTTTTCTTGCATATAAAGTGCCCCAGCGTGGATGTAGCTTGAGCCCCATGCTGCCTAGTTCCCATCCATAAGCTAGTTAGTAGTTACGGCTGTTCCAATTCATGGTGTCCTCATTCTGGCCCCTTTTGTTGTATTGGATGGTCGAGTACAGAGATGCGAGCCCACCTCACGCTGTTACTGTTTGAAGCAAGATTACATAAAGAACAGCTAAGTGTAGATTTAA